TTTTGTACCAGGGATCGATCGAACTTGGGACCTTGCAATTTCGAAGCAGGCAGTGGAACCACTGAGCTAAATCCCTGGCCCCCGGGGCTTGGTATATTTTGAGATTTTTTTTTCAGGGAAGCGAGTCAACTTCACATGTGAGAGCTTACCATTTTATAACTAGTTGAATAGAAAGAACACTGAAGTAGAACTCAGGAGACTTGGAGTCTCATCCTTTCTCTGGTGTTTTTTTGTTTGTTTTTTTATCGACCATGGGCAAAACAGTTAACCGGTCTGGTTCTTTTTTTGTATTTGCATATTAGGTGGGATCAGACCTGATGATTTCTTTCTTTTTTTTTTTTTTTGGTGCCGGGGATCGAACTCGGGTCCTTGTACTTGTGAGGCAGGTGGTGGAACCACTGAGCTAAATCCCCAGACCTGATGATTTCTAAAGACCCTCCCAATTCTAAGTGTAGTTGATTCACTGGGTACAGATATGTTACTAGTAATTTTGCTGATTCATTCTAGGCCCATAAATGTTCCTTTTTCAAAAAGTTTTGTTGACTGTTGTTCTTTATTGTCTAGAAATTTTAGCATTATTTTTTTATATCCTTAGTTAGTTCTCACCTAAAGTTAGCCCCACCCTGTGGTACTGGAGATTACATACAAGGCCTTCACACTGAGCTACATTCCCAGCCCTTTTTAATTTTTAATATTTTGACACAGGGTCTTGCCAAATTGCTAAGTAGCCCAGGTTGGGCTCAGACTCGAAACGCTCCTGCCTCAGCTTCCCAGAGTGCTGAGCAGATGGATTACAGGCATGTACCATCACTCCCAGCTCTAAAGTCAGTTCTTACTAAGGATCTGTTGTGTGTCAGCCTTGTACCTTGTTCTTTGTCTCTAAAGGTGTAACATCTGGTTTCTTTTATTTATGAAGCCAGTTGTCTTACTTTTAGAAATGTGTTCTGGAAAAAGTTAATTCAAAATATCTGTGGAGAGTAAATTTAATAATTTTAGTTTCTTAAAGGAAATTATCAGGTTTGATATTCTCTACTTAACTGAAGTTGTTAATGGTAACTTTGGATTTGAAGTTTAAGAATCTTCAACGCGATTTGACTCTTGTGTTTCATGAGCTTTTTGACAAGCCCCTGACTCAGGATGCAGCATTCCTTTTTGGGGCTGCACCCCCGTGCCGCAGTCTCTTCCTCGCAGCTCAGCTCGCCATGTAGAATGCACACGTGGACCCCTCCCCTGGAATGGCAGGACTTGTTTGAGAAAGGAAAGCTTGTGGCATCCTTTCTGTTTACTACTTTTGTCATTGGATTTTCTCCTTTTAAAAGTGATGATAAAACTATGATTATCAGTCATATTACAGAGAACAAGAGATGAGAGATTTAATTGTTCAGTTCAGGATCAGATATGAAAATGCGTTTCTTTTGTTTAAGATTCTCTTAGAAGCCCAAGATATGGCAGTGAAAGACCACAATGTGGAATTCAGATCCAATTTGTATGTAGGTAAGTTTTTTAATATTCTTAGCATGGGAAATGTCTTTCAGTGCTGATGCCATGTTGTTCACCTGACAACTTTCCTTATATCTGACTTTTCAGGACTGGGTTTGACCATAGAAATTGGTGATACTGGTTTATTCTTCAACCTTAGGCTTATCAGTGTGACTCTGTTATAAGTAACAGTATCTGTACCATTTTATTCTTATCGGTTCTGTAATGACACTAAGATGAAATCTCTTGCCAGTAATTATTAAATAATGGATTCTAGGTCTGGTACATAGATCGGTCCTTTAATCATAATAAAATTAAGAGGGCCGGGGATTTAGCTCAGTGGTTCCAGCACCTGCCTCGCAAGTGCAAAATCCCGAGTTTGATCCCCAGTACCAAAAAAACAAAAAAAACAAACATAATAAAATTAAGAAAGAACAACTGACTTAAAGAAAACAGAAATTCTGTATCAACTGGAAAGAAGTAATGGATTACATGAGAACTTAAATGTCTTTATTTTATTATTATCTTTATTTTATTTAAAATATGCCAAGCCAGATGTCCTGTGATTTCACCTTCCAATTATCAGAATGGAAGAGCTGTCGAACTGTAAAAGCCAGCGGGCCTGGAAGGCTCAGATGATCCTTCTGTGTTTGTTCCTGTTTCTGCTACATTTTGCAGCACTGGCTCTGCTGTTACCTGCGTGTTCCACATCAGAGTAAATTAATGTTTGGTAACAGTGCTGTGGGGAGCAGGATGTGCTGTACTCATGAGGGGTTTCTTGCAGTGTACTTCACACAGCTCTTTGCCCAGGAGGAGATCAGCACTTATTATGAAGTCCTCTTACTCCCTCCAGCACCAGCAAAGTGGAGCAGTCGCTAGGGTTATTGTTTTCCTCTTAGTCAGCAACAGTGACTCCCAACCTCAGCAAGTTTGTATTCATACAGGTGTTGCTATTGAAGCAAAATTATCTCAGTCTCCCAAAACCTCCATATCTAAGAACTGTTTTATCTAAAAATATTTTAAATTTTAGGTATGGGAAACTGCTGTTACTCCAAATGAAGGGTAAAGGGCTGAAACATTGCAGGGGGAATTAGTTGTATTTTATAATTTTTCAACAGTCAAAGTAAAAAGAAATAGTCTGAATTTTACTTTGTCACATAACTTCTGCCCTTCTAGTGGTATTAATTCTGGTAAAGTTAAAAATCTCACCTCAACTCACTTGAATTGGTGCAAGCAACCATACTGCCTTTTGAAATTCAAATTAGTTATGATTTTCAATTGAAGTATCTTCAAAGCCGCATCTGTATAACTAATTTTATTCTGGTACATGCACAGATGCAGAGGGAAATCAAATTAGCAACTCAGAAGTTGCAAGGCCTCAGTAGTTCAGCGTGAGCATTTTCCCCGTCTGGGAGTAGCGTGACTAAGTAATTCTGAGGAGGGCCCAGGATCACTGGGATGAATGAAATGGATAAGGAGCAAAACCGTCCACTTAAAACCTCTGGGTGACCTTTCCTCCTCTATGATTCTGACTGTCAAATCTAATTCAATTAATTTTATTCAGTTTCATAGGAATGTGGGATTCTTAGCTGATAGACTCTGTAATGGGATTCAGATATAAATGAAACTGGGTTTGTCTTTAAATCATTTTCAAAAACTGCCTTTAATCCTTTTCAGTGATTGAGGAGAGACAGGATGAGGAATTTAATTCTGTCATCCCAGATGAAGGAGCAAGTCCATTGTTGGCATTAAGCAAAACTATAGTTAACCAATCCTCCATTAATGAGCCTTTAATTCAGAGGTCTCCATACCCACTCTCCTGCTGAAAAATCTCTGCTCTCCCTGAACTCTTTTCATCTAGTTCTGAGTAAAAGTCACTTTTCTTAAATAGAACTGCTAAGTTTGGATTTGTCCTATGATTTTTTTTTTTTTGGTACCAGGGATCGAATTTAGGACCTTGCACTTGCGCGGCAGGCGCTGGAACCACTGAACTAAATCCCTGGCCCTGTCCTATGATTTTAAAAACTTTCTTTTAAGCTGGGCATGCAGCTACCTGCCTGTAGTCCCAGAGCTCTGGAGGCTGAGGGAAGAGGATCGCAAGTTCACGTCCAGCCTGGGCAATTTAGTGACTCAATGAGACCTGTTTTCAAAATTAGAAATTTTTAAAAGGGGTTATGTATATAGGTCAGTGCAAAGAACCTGGGTTCAATCTCAGTACCACAACAGCAACAACAAAGCCGAAAAACTTTTTATTTATTAAATATTTTGATGCCTAATTCCATCATGAAGAGATGAATACCTTCAGGCAGATGTCATATCTTACTATGACATTTTATCTCTGCATTTGCCAAACTTCTTTAAGAATCACATGAAGTTCTTATTAAAACAAATTTCCAGGCCTTACCACAGACCCATTGGATTTGAAACCTGAGGGGACAGGCCTGGGAAGCTCTTTGTTAATAGGTATTTTAGTGATTTTTGTAAAATATGGGAAACTGGTTTATCTCATTTCATTATGGCCCTCAAATTGGGTGGAGTAGCAGTTTCGGAGAGAAGCAGCCATTGTGTCTATAAAATGCTTTTTAGAACTTTTCTACTCTCAGTCTTACCATTCATGCTGATCCAAGGAACCTAGTAGTGCGTCATGATGAAGTGGTTTGTATAAGGCTGCTTTCTCTTTGGAAATTCTTCACTCCATTTCCTCAGGGCTGGGTAGATGCATTTGATACAGGGGCAACAGCACTGCCCTTATCTACCGAGACTCCAAGCTCTTTCCCAAGCATTTGCATCCTCAGCTTTCTCTTTGGAGGCCAGGAGGATGCTTCTGCAGAAGCCCATGTCATGAGAGGGTACTGTAGTTAGAGTTGTCAAGTGTGTACTTTACAAAAATCCATGTATTTATAAAATTATGTTACTGTATGCATGTAAGAATGGTGAGTATTGAAATGGATTAGTTTGATATGCAGTGTATACATTTTACCCTTCTAAAGGATTTATTAACAATCAAAAAGTCACTGACTAAACACATTCAGAAAACAGTAGGTGGCTGCTATTTTGATTTACTGTGGGTGAGCAGGTGATCAGATTTCTCATGTACTTCTAAAATGATTTCTTCATATTCTCAAGGTTGGTCTTTGCTGTGCACAGTGCAGGAGGGGAGCTGAGAGCATAGTCACGATGGCTGAGTCCCTAATCCTGGCTGGAGTCACTCTCTGGTGCAGTCCCTTGCTAGGGATGTAGTTTCCAAGGCCACCTCCTGTGTGCTAAGTTGGAATCCCCAGAGACGAAGGGTCTCAGAGTTGGATTCTGAACACCGAGGGCAGCTTTGGGAACCTCAGCTCAACAATTAGAATGGAATCGTCCTCACAATTGGAATAGAATCAGAGCTCTTTCCTGTAACTCGCAGGGCCTGTAATCTCTTCTCTGTCCTCATTTTTGACCTCTTTCTCCTGTTTGTACGCTCATATCCTTGTATTTCCTTTTCCTAAATCAAGCCTCGTACCTTCCTACCTGAGGGACTGAGGGATGTACTTGCTGTTCCCACTGCCTGGATGCCTGTCCCTGGATTGCACAGACCCCACGTTCTGGTCTTACTTAGATCAGAATCTCTTCCTCCAGGAGGCCACTTGACACCCCCAATGTGAAGTTGCCCCTACCACCCCGTCAGTCTCCATCCTAGCACTCTGTTCACTTTGTTCCTAGCACTTGCCCCTATCCACAATTACTGTGTTTTGCCTTTCCCCTCCAGACTGTAAACTGCATGGAGGTAGAGCCTCAGCAGTCTTGTTCCCCCTTACTTCTCTAACACCTGAAATAGGCCCTGGTTGTTAGTGCTCAGATGATGCTTGTTTTGAGAGGAGCCTGCTCCAGCTCGCAGTGAGCTCATGTGATCTTCAGATGCAGTTGGGGAAAGGACAGAAATTGCTCAGCTGGTCAAGCTGTGGTTTTATGGATAACGGCTATTTCCTGTACTCTTTCTTTTTCTTCCCTCTGTAGCTGAGTCCACCTCAGGGCGTGGCCAGTACCTGAAACGCATCCGCTACCACGGCAGAGGTCGCTTTGGGATCATGGAGAAGGTTTATTGCCATTATTTTGTGAAGTTGGTGGAAGGGCCCCCTCCTCCCCCTAAGCCACCAAAGACAGCCATGGACCATGCTAAGGAGTATATTCAGCAGCTTCGCAGCCGGACCATCATTCACACTCTGTGATGGGGAGCTCAGACTTACAGTGTACATATTTTGCCATTTATTTTTAAAAATAAAAATTTAAGACAAATACTTTTTCTGATTTGTGATTGAGTTATTGAAACATGATGTGTAACTACATTTTATATGAATATTTATAAGGCTTTACCCCTCTCTTTTGAAAGGCTCTGGGCGTATTTGTATGCATTTGCAACTTGAAAGGGGAAATCAGCTTTAAACATTTGTAACAGATTGTAATTCACAAGGCTTTTGGAATACCTTTTCAGGGGAATGTTAACTGTCCTGCAAATGCCAGTTTGGGTACTGGACTGGAGTTAGAGTGTCACAGGAGAAGCAAGTTTGTCCTAATTTCACCCAGTTTTCTCTTGGAACAGGGGAGGATGTGGTGGAGGCGAGCTGGATATTGTTTCATTGCAGTATTTTAGGGAATTCAATGTTCTGTTTTTCCTTCCATTGTTGGCCCAGGCCAGTGGATAAGGGGTTATGTTTTCCTTTCGTCTTGTAGCGGTACCTTGAAATTACAGGAGTTACTAGATACTTAAAACTCCACAAACACTTAGAAAGTTTTTTTCTAGTTAAATAAATTCTATTTTTATTCCATTTTTTATCAATAGTGCTTTCTGTTATTTGCATACCTAGTTTAGGACTGATTCATTTTTCCTGATGAATTCAATTATAGTACTGAGGACTCAAAGGAACCTCAGCATTCCATTCTACAAGAAGGCAGTAGGTGGCACTCACCTCATGAGCAGAAGATCGCTGGCGTGTTCAGCTCTGCCTGGCTTTTGCTGATGACAAGAGACTCTGTTCCCAGCCCTGCTTTCTGTGTCTCACACTTTTCTAGGCAAAGGAAGAATGGGCGCTGCTTACTTGTTAATGTAGATTTCTGGGTCCCAGCACAGTGATTCTGATTCACTATGTGTTGTGCGGGGCTAGTTCCAGAAATTGGTTTTATGTGAGCATTTCCACATTTTTCTGTTGTATGGGACTACTTTGAGAGCAGCACTCCTTCAGCCAAATGAAGAATGAAACTTTACTGCCATGTTGAAGATGGCATTAAGAGTGCCTAGTACTATTGTGGGTATATTTGCTGAGCTCTAAGCTAGTATTTTTGTGTAAATACAAAAATGTGGTATATTTGCCAAGCTCTAAGCTAGTATTTTTGTGTAAATACAAAAATGTAAGTACGTAAATGTATTATTTTGTCACTTTACAAAGAAACCCAAACACACAAAATTCTAATAACTATTACAAAGTCACATAGTGTGTAAATACTGGCGCTTCGATTTAAATTAGCTTTCCAAAGTACCTGCTTCTGCATTCTTAATATATGAACAGCTGTGTTTTTGTGTTTCTCCAGCTAACCTATTAATTGGGTGTCTTAGGTTCTGTACTCACTTGGACAACATACCCAGCACCCACAGTTTCGAAGGAGAGAGGTTTATTTTGGCTCATGTTTTCAGTCCATGGTCAGCTGGCCCCTGAGACAGGAAAGATGTGGTGGGAGGGTCTGGATGGAGGAAGGCTGCTCGTGTCACGGCAGCAGCCAGGAAACAGCAGAGGGGAGACGCTCTTCAGATCTTCCCTGCAGTGACCTGCCCCCTCTGAGCAGGCCCCACCTCCCGACAGCACACTCAGTGGCTGAACTCACCAATGGCTAAATCCACTGGTGAGCACAGCACCTCTGCGGACCAGCCGCCCTCCGTGGCTCTGCCTCTGAATGCATGAGTTCTTTGGGGGCGTTCTAGACCTAAACCATAACCCAGCAAAAAGGCTAGCAGGGTTCAGTGGAGTATGCCAGAGTTTAGGCCGGATTCCTCCTGGGTCCTGGCTGATACAGGGTTGGAGTCATGGAAATAACACGGGTGGTAAAAGGCAAGCTTCACTCTAGTCCAGTGGTGGCGAACCCATGGCACAGAGCCACACCGGGCACAGACCTGAACGCAAGCCAAGTCGCCCCAGCAGCCAAGCATTGGATGACGGTTGTTTTTTTCTAATCTAAAACCTCTGTGTTCAGGTTTAGATTTCTTGGTACCAGGGATTGAACTTGGGTCCTTGCGCTTGCGCAGCAGGCGGCAAAACCACTGAGCTAAATCCCCGGCCCTGTGTTCAGGTTTAATTGCGGTGGTGACACTCTGTGATAAGTAAGTGCGTTTTGGGTTGAGGTTTGGCACTTGGTCTCTGAAAGTTTCGCCATTACCGTTCTAGTCCCTGTGTGCTCTGCAGCCGAGAGAAGACCTTGGGCAGGTTCCTTTCCTTGCTGGCCCTCCTTTCATCTATAACACAAGGCTCTGTGCTCTGAGGACAGCCTCCTTCAGAATTACTTCAGGAATTTATGAAAAAGTGCCAGTCCCTAGGCCCTACTTTCAGACTAATTTCATCAGATTTTTCATGTTCCTTTTAACAAATACCCAAGTGATTTGTGTGTTGCAGGATCACTGGACCAGAAGGCCTTTGTTCTTTCAGCACAGGTGCGCCATGCTTGTTGGCTCTGATGCTTTGACTTCCTCGGCTGAGACTAAAGCAGGTGGTAACGTGAATGCCATGACTATAAATTATGTAAATGAAGGTGCTAGTTCAACTAGGCCATGGGAGCTATTTTGAAAAAGCTTAGGAAAAAACTGACCTTGGGTTGGTTTCTTTTTCCTGGGGATCACATTCTAAGCACATGCTTTACCCCTGAGCTGCATCCCCAGTTCTCCTCACCCTGGATTCTAATGGAGAAAATTTGCTTGTGATCTAAGGGTAAGCTTTCATTTAGAACTGCTTCCGATGTATATAAAGTGTAGTTAAAGTTGACATGTAGCACTTACTGTGTACTTAATACTGTTTTAAGTACTCTACATATATAGCCTCAGTGAATGAATCTTTCCCACTGTGCCTGTGGTACAGAGAACATCTCGTGTTAGCTTTCAGTCACTGAGGCAAAATACCTGTGACAACACAACTTAAAGGAAGAAAGGTTTATCTTGGTTCATAGTTTCAGAGGTTTCAGTCCCTGGTCACCTGGCCCATTGCTTGTAGACCTGTGGTAAGGCAGAAATACCGTGGTGGAAGGGTGTGTCAGAGGAAAGCCACTCACCTTAGGGCAGCCAGAAAGCAGAGTGGGAAAGAGCCAGAGAGAAAAGGGCTGGGGACAAGATACAGTCTCCAGCACATGCCTCCGTAACATCTGCTGAGTTTTTATGGCTGGGAGTGTGCTTTCTGACATAAAAAACCATGTGGGCTCCCCTTAAAGCTTAACTTCACATGTTCAAAAATTAATATTTATTATTTATTGGCAGTCTCTGAGTACTTGTAATTTCCTTCTTTTTCAAAGAAATTTAATGGGCTTAAATTTTATTGCTGGAGTGGGTCCCATTCAGAAAGCACAGCAGTCGTAAGTGTGCAGCTCCGTAAACGGTCATCCGGTGAACGTGCTCATCAGACCCAGAGATAACATTCATAGCCACCCTGAGGGCCCCTTCATATCTTCCCGGCCGCTTCCCCTTTCTGCTCCCCAAAGGTAACCATTATCCTGACCTCTAACATTGGGTAGATTTTTAAAAGGGTTCAGCTTTTGTTGTTGTTTTTTTTAACAATATAACTCATTGGACAGCCTGGTCTGTCAATTACAAATGCCTGGTCTGAATACAGGCACTGAGTGGAGTAAACAGCCGCTGTACAGCGCTCACCGTCCAATGGGAAAGACAGACTATAGATCAGGCACGCAAGGTTTTGGCATGCTGCGCGTTGGAAACTTGAAGGGACAGGACCCTGGCAACAGATATTGAGGTCCTGAAAAATAGCTGCTTTTTTTAAAAAAGCTACTTCCTTAAAATACACAATAAGAGGAAAGAGTAAAAACAAATATATGGATCAGTAAAGAGTTGTATCAGCTTGAGGAGTTTTGTTTGTGCGGTGTGAACAGTAGGACCATTTCATGCCTCCATGAATGGATGCGGGATGCAATGTGAGATGTATGCTGTCTGCAGAGTTGATTCATGCAACAAGCTGTAAGGCTTTACCAAGTCCAAGGGGAGAGACGTGGCATGTTCCATAAACATTGCAACATAAAACAAATGTATTTGTAAGTAAAAAAAATAATTAAATTTCCCCATTTGTTTTATCTTAACACAGAAGTTACAATAACAAGTTTAGTTAAGAGGGGCTCACATACGTGGCTTTTTGTTGTTGTTATTTTTTTTATTTTTGAGACAAGGTCTCACTATGTAGTTTAAGCTAGCTTTGAACTCACTATGGTCTGTAGCCCAGGTTGGCCTTGAATTCACTGTAATCCTCCTGCCTTAGCCTTCTGGGTACTGGAATTACAGCCATGTGCCACCATGCTTGTTTCACATATGTGGTTTTATTTATTTATTTTTAATTTATTTCTTTATTTTTGAGACAGGGTCTCACTATGTAGTTCAGGCTGGCCTTGAGCTCACTGTGTACCCAGGCTGGCCTCGAACTCACAGCAATCCTCCTGCCTCTGCCTCCCTAGGGCTGGGATTACAGGCATGCACCACTACACCGGCCATATGTGGGGTTTTTTTGTTGTTGTTGTTTGTTTGTTTTTTGGTACTGGGATTGAACTCAGGACCTTGTGCATGCCAGGGAACTGCGGCACCACTGAGCTACATCCCCGGCCCCATATGTGGTTTTAAAAGAAAATAGTTCTGGAGTAGATGAGCATCTAACAGATTCCAAAGCAGGAGCAAGTGGCATAGATAACATTAACATTTCTTTCACAAGGCACCTCTTTGTAAGTCTCTGTCCTGGTGTAACTGTTCAGGCTCTGATTTCTGTTTGAGAGAGGGGCTTTCTCCTTAAACGTCTACTGTGAATTTTCTTAATGTATAATTTAGGACATATCTGTCATACTGTTACAAATATTTGTAGGTGAGTTATACTTGTGCACGAAAATAAATGTTTGTGTAATGTCTTTCTTTTTTTTTTTTTTGGTACCGGGGATCGAACTCGGGTCCTTGCACTTGCGCAGCAGGTGGTGAAACCACTGAGCTAAATCCCTGGCCCTGTGTAATGTCTTTCCATTAGAGATTTGCATGGATCATTGTTTTCCCTTCTGGTCC